GCTTTAGTCTTCGTTTGTTCGACTGACAGCGAAGCAAGCAAAATTAGACAGTACTGCGATGACATTACAATTTAAATTCAGCGTTTTAGCTTTTTCATATTCCTTTACATGTCACTATGTTTAAATAGGTTGACTTGGAACATTTTTTTCGCGGTTTTTGTATTAGACCCGTCGTCCATTTATTTGTAAATCAATGGGCACTGCCACGTTTTAAAGCAACAACGCCACGGTCAGATAAGGTACTGACGAGCTTATAACTCATATATTCCCTCTTTTTGCGTCGGGTTTTAAAAACCTATGTTTTATTTTTCATCATCATCGCTTATTTTGACTTTCGACTGCTGAGCGCGGGTTTCCGCTTAGGCGAAGGTTTAGGTCAAAGTCCACCACGCTGCGCTGGCGCAATGCGGGTTGGGGACTTCACACGAACCTTCTTCGACTGCAGGTTTCATGACGATGTTTTCCTTCATCGAAAAGCTCATGGTAAATTTCGCACATAAATTTTGAACCCACGAGCCTCTGCCTGAGAGACGATAGGTTACACCATCTTTTATTTTTATTTAGTGCAACTCTTAAATTTCTAGGCCGCCCACTGTACAATAGCTTGTTCTATTATACTTTTGTTAAATAAAACGCAGGCTAGAAATTTACTTTTTCTATTTCTGAGCACAGTTTGTTTTTTAACACATTTTGAGTATAGTGTTGCCATAAAATATAACACATGTTTTACAAATCGTCGCCTTACTTTCTCAAACTCGTATCTTCAAACACAAAGTTACTGAAATGCAAAAAAATAATTGTATATACAAATTTTGCAGGCTGACTTCACATCATATTTACACACTAGTTTTTACCTATTCTTAAAGTAATGCATCCAAATTAATACCCTTGATAAGAAATTTAATATAAATAGAAAGTTTTTCTATCTCCTGTATAATCACCCTTTATAAGATACGAGTTTGAGAAAGTAAGGCATCGAAATGTTGCCTATTAATATAACCAAAAAAAAAAATTAAATGCCTATTTATTGAACAACTTTCGTTACTTATCGAGTTCTTAGGTTTTCACGATTGTTACACATAGGAAATGAAACTATTTTTCCGTATTCGAATCTCTTATATTTGTTTTTTCAAACAAACCGACGTTCCGGGTTCCTTTACAGGTCCCAGTCATTGTCGTTACTGTTTTGTAATGTTATTGTATTTTTTACCGTACAAAAGATATATTTTATTCGTTCATTTTTTGCTTTATATTGCATTGGTATTTCGGGTTATTCCAAAACAATATAATTATAAGACCACGGTCCGAATATCAAAAGACCTGAGTAAATAACTGCTATAGCGACACAAACGCTAAAATCGCAACTCCACGATCAATATTTTAATGTTTTTGCGACATAAATAAATGAATAAATGAATAAATAAAACACATAAAACATCTGTCAAAGTTTCGTAGCAATTTTTCGTCTGCTAATAACATACTTTAGATCGTGATTGACCGTGAACTATCAAAGTCTATAGTTGATTAAGTCTATTGTAGTTAATTAAATAATGACTTCATTGTTGATGCACGGACAATAATGTGCCAACTTCTTAGGTATTATTATAGTTATGGATTTTCTAATTTAGGATCATAATAACGATGTTTTTTGTTTTTTTTTGCGATATCAAGTGGCGAAACTACAACATAACATTTGCGGTGCAACTCTGAACTTTGCAAAGATCTGAGAGATCGAGTTCTGTTACTTAAATAACGTACACACTCATAGCCCCGCACTAGGGAAACCCTGTGTCACGGATGCCGTGGACACACACATAGGTAACCACAAATCACATTCAGACTCACGAGAGAAAAAAATGTTGGCCATGCAAGTATTTCTCCTCTCCTCTCTCCACTATACAAATATGTTTCGGGACCTCTGCGTGGCAGTCCCATGGTAACCGTTCGGCCATGGAGGCAGTTAAAATAAGATATGTTTGATTGGAAATAAGATCTTTAGAATTCCTCGACGTGGATAGGGTGGCTCCAACTGGGCGGCCTTTATAGTCCACAAGTTTATTAATGCAACAATATTGCACAAGGTCTAACTGACCGTTTTACATATTTTACTTAATAAAAACAACTAAAACGTATAATTACGTTCAAGACTGGAAAACTTCTGGGGCCCAATTCTGGTGTTACACGACATTTTCTTTATTTTGAAACAATGTTACTTCTTCTTTATAAAAAAAACCGGATTAAAAGTTTATGGAATTACATCTATTTGCCAAGTTTTATTGAAATCGGTTAATGGAAAATGGGTGAAATTCCATAAACCACGGATTCATTTCCTAATTTGCTACCCTTAGAGGTGGAACATTTCCACCACTTATTGTCGGTTCACAAATATTAGACTATTCGCGTAAAATACTAAAAAAATACAGTCCAATTGAGAACCACCTTTTTTAAGTCAGTTAAAAATCTCTTGTGTAAAAAATCTTCTGAATCTCAGTTCCAATATAGACATTAAGTCGAAAAATTTGAAATTTTTAGTTGTATACGTTGGTTCTGTTCGGTTGTACTCAAAACGTAATAAAAAACAATATATATTTCACCGCTAAGAACGGGTATTTAAACGAAGGCTGTATCGTAGGGAATTTCATAAGTTTTTCATGGGTTGTGATTTTTTTTTCGACATGCTGGTTTCAGCACAATAAATAACTTACAAATTCAAGTCATAGGAATTTACCGTCATGGAAATTCGAAATGAGACTGTAATAGAGAACCAACCGCTCCTTTATTGGGGCCCCGTTTTGTATCATTTCAGTATTATTAATAATTGTATTTTTAATGTGTTCATATACTGTAACTATACCTTATTAAGAGAAATAAAGCATATTGTATTGTATTGTATTGCATTGTATATTGTATTATACAGTTTTGATAAAGCCGTGATAAAAGCACTTTTGATGTATGATAACCAGGGCTCCGAAAAATAAGCAGTATAGTCTACAAAATATGTACATGTAATATGGGCAAAAAATCATAAAATATGGAAAAAAAATGTAACTTTTTTACTAAAAAAAACCGACTTCAAAAGTTCGCTTATCGGCTTTTTCCGATTTCAGTGGGAACCCCTCATCCGATTCTGATTTCTTGGTGACAATGGGACTGTTACGGACTATTTTGTACATTTTGTATTTTCTTTTCTGGTTGTCATGGTAACGGTGATTTGTTGATTACACGTATTGTCTCAAGTGAAACGTCGACTTTTATTTACAGAAAATAATTAGTAATTTGTGATAGTCGAAACGAGCCTCAGGGACCACCTCGAGAGTATACTCTTTCAAACAAAATAAATTCTTTTCAAAATCGGTGCACAATTGACGGAGAAATTGGAGAATACACGGACATGCCTATACATTTTGAGAATTTCCTTCGATTTTCTTTGGATTCTCTCATTAGATTCTGACTTGGCGACAATGGGACCAAGACGAAAGTGCACCCTTTCACACAAAAAAAGAATTTTCAAAATCGGTCCGCAATTGACGGAAACATCTGAAAACATAACCTCCTCCGGTTTTTGAAGTCCGTTAAAAACAACTGTCACATAAACTGCGCTTTATTACAAAAAAATCAACAAAATTTATTCCACTTCAATCTAATTTTCGTTACAACACACAGTTACATGTTTGTTTTTTCGAAATTAAAATTTTGTAATGTAAATTTTGAACAACAGTTTGTACTGGCTGAATGATCTTTCGACGTCACAGGATGTGACTGGAGAAAACTTCAATTTTCACAAATCCGCAAGTAGGTCACGTCTAGGTTATCTTCTAATCTTCCGCATAGTACACTTCTTTTTTAGTCTATTAAAACCTTTATTTTTTCAAGAGCGCACGCACTTTTATTTTTTCTATTAAATAAAATATCATGTAATATTGAAAATATGGATTATTGGAAGTTTCGTGTAGAAATATGGTCTAAACCTGTAAAAATGGAAAAATATGGAAAATATAAGTTACTTTTTTGTATTCTAAATATCATTATTTATGTAGAAAACAAATTAAAGAACGTCAGTTATTGAACTCAAAAATATATAATACATAATTAATCTGGGGCCCTAATGATAACAATACACGTGGTTTTATTACAATGCAACAGTACGAAGTCTATATTAACATTCTGCCACATTCAAAGTAAATGTAATGTGTCAATTTGAAAGTCGAATTGATAGCGACATTCTGACACATATGTCGAGCATTGGTGGTAGATTTAATGTCGATTATGAGTTTTTGGGAATACCAGCAGTTTGCGATCGACATCTGTTGTTTTTTTTAATTTCTCTACTGTGACATATCCTCTGTTACACCTTACGTTTTCCTTAAAAAGGGCCAAGTGAAATATAGTGACGTTACTCTGTCGTCATATAGATTTCCCGTATTAGTCATTACGTAGATGATAGCCACACACAGAGCTTCCCAGAACTATGTTACTAAATTCGTCTTCCTGTTAGCTTCTCCTACTTCTATATTTAACTATGTATGATTTATCAATGATAATGTTGAATTAATTTTTGTCATGTCCGAAGAAGGATGCGGCCATTGACTAGGCAAGCATATTTTACTACACGGAAAGATTCACGCGGTTTTTGCGTGTGTAAAGAACAGTGTACATCGGCAATTTTACGTGCCTTTGAAAGAGATTTAGGTCGAATCGAATGCAGGTGCATTCCTATTTTATCGTGTTTCTCAAGCGCTTCATTATGGTTATTTATTATCTTTAAATTTAGAATTCTTTAAATTGTAGTCGTTATTTCACATTGTCCTTAATCATCTCTAAGTTTACAATAAAATGATCTAAATTCCAACGTTCGAAGAAATTAAGAATTCAGACGCGGAAAACTCACGTGTGGTTATTTCATTGACATCGCAAACCGCAAATTACGAGGTATTCCAATGTGAATGTACCCTAAATCACAAAAATATATAACGGCCGGGTGCGCGAGCGCATTCAATGCCACGGACGCGTACTACCGGTCCAGTCAAGCGCGACAACTTGTCCCGAGCGGACGTGCGAAATATTCTAATAGTGACAACATTTACCGGTTCTATTAAATAGTTTTAACTATTGAGTACTGAGTGACGTAATTATAGCCTTCGTTCTATTTTCGAAGCTTTTCGTTGTATACTTATTTACAAGGTGTGTATTATTTTTGTTAATGTGATATTAAACAGATGTTAAATTTGGTAATGGTAAGAAAATCAGGTTAAAAACGATATTGTAGTACATACTGTATCTGTATTATTTTTAAACTTGTTTTCTTTATTATACTTTTTATGCAAAAAAGAGAAAAAGTGTTATGAGGAAAATAAGTGGGACAGAACAGGTTATTGCACGGCATGTGTTATGGAATGCCATAATGCGTGTGTGTTCAAATTGAATGTTCAATTCTCGATTATTAGTTGATATGGTAGCAAGTCTCTAATGTTTTAAGAATGCATAATACATATAGTCTACGATCTCGGTAGCTTAACGGTTTATATTATGGGCGCTGGATACGGAGGCCCCGGATTCGATTCCCTGTACGACGAATTTGGGAAAAGTTACACAATTTACAATTCTCAGGCGTTCAAATTGTGATTTATTCTTGTTTATAAGTATAAGTTAGAAAAATATGATGTGTTTATATTGCAACGTTATGTTTACAATACCAAAACTAATATAAACACATTAATGTGTTTTGTATAAAAAAAAATCTTGAGTGTTTTCGTAAAACTAATGGCGGATGATTGCGAATTTTTCCTCAAATCAAGTGATATCGATAAAAACCTGTATGCAACAAACCGGCTTGAAGTGAGAGACTCAATTTGTAATTTTAATTGACCTAAGAACCATTTGCTAATAATTATGAGGTGATTTATTAATTATTAAGTGCATTCTTTAAGTTTGACATTAGATATCAATTATAGACAGAATAGGGCTTCTTCTTCCTGTTCTTAACCCACGCTAGGTAGAGTCGGTACAAAATGTGTTTTTCCTCGACTTTCCCCTATCAGTCGTCATTTACATTCTCGCTCCTTTCTTATCCATGTCATCTTTCACACAATCCATCCATCTGTTCTTTGGCCTTCCTTATATTCCTCCATCTTATCGTCACATGACATTCTTCCCTCCGCATGACATGTCCATTCGACTCTAACCTATTTATTACTCTTCATCTTTTCCGTCACTGGCGCCACTTTCAAACTTCCCTTTTATAGACAGAATAGGACTGCTATCTAAGTTACTAGTACAACAAATGGGGGCTATGTTGAGCAAGTGGCCATCTGAGCAATAAACGGTATTATTCAGGATTATTTGTAAAAATATATATTAGCAACCTCGCAGGACCTCATCAGTAAAAGTTGCCATTTATTTAACTTTTAGTAATTACTAATTAATGATGAATTCGTCAGAATTCACTTTCGAACGGAATTGAAAAGAATATTAAATAGATCGCTTTAAACTGTGATAACTCTGTGCGTACGGTGCAAAACGAAGGATCGGGGTGGGGGTCGTAGACGAAAACGCTTTAACATTTGTACTTACAACCTTACTATATACAAATACAGATATAAAAAGTGTCAAATAGTGCAGCAAAAACTTAAAAGTTTATTATTGGTAAAATTATTAAGTTCTGTAAAAAGTTATGGAAAAATGTTGTTGCTTATGATGTTAATATACAGCCCTGTGAGGTTGTTGAAAGGCAACAATGTCCTTAAGTTCGATAATAAATTGTATGTGAACATTAAATACGTCACAAGTAACAATTGTGTTATTTGTGACGTGTTTGGTAGGTAGTTTAATCTATTGTATTGACAAAGAAACAGTCATTGCATTATGAGACACTAATATGATATGCCATTAAAGTTTACAAGTTTCCTGTTTATGCTTGTTGCGTTAGGTATTAGTGAAACAGGGCATTAGCGAAAATGTAGACTAAAGTTCTTAGGTTATTGTCAGTGCTACTTGTTGGAAATAAAAGTAGTTGATATAGTCAACCGTGACCCGTGACCACGCAGACACAGACGCGCAACAATTATTTCATCTCCAATGTGTAGACTAAATGTTAATATAAAAAAACTTCAAGGATACTTAGACGTCGCATCAGGTTTATCTTTATTCCAATCGCCCAATTTTCAAGTTGATAGCCCGTTCCAAACGAGTCGTTTCTTATAAATAATCGAAGATCCCCAATTTTGTTCCAGATGAAAACGTACACAATAATTTTCGGAGTTCTCATGTGCTTAGCGGCAAGTAACGCTAGGAACCTCGAACGTCGTGACATTGCCAGCGATGTCGAAGATCATGTAAACACTGTAAGAAGAGCGAGAGAACACGCCCCAAGTCAAAGACATAAGAGACGAAGCTGGCAGACCAACTACGGATACGATTATCCTCAACCACCAATGCCGTTTTATCAAGACAGAAGAGACTATGAACAGCAGAGCCACCAAGATATTATTCCTCAAATTTGGAGGTTACTAGACGAGATATCATCTTTTGTACGACGACCCCCTATTTCTTCGCCACCTCAACCTGTCTACATTCCTTATGCTGTACCTTATCCTGTTGCGCAAGCTTGTAATTGCGATACCCAGACAGGGCCCAGGGATGACAAGAACATCACCTTTAACACAAGAATTAAGGATATGGAACCTGAGCAGAATTGGGGACTTGTGGATTCCAATGAGGGTATTATTGACGATGACGAAGGGGATGGATCTAGGCCAATTTCTTTCGCTCCTGTGATGCCGAAGCGTCCTTCAAAGAGGCCTGCGGTTCAAGTTGAGCATGGAAGCATACAATCTGGGATTGCAGCAGGATCAGCAGCGGTAAGTTCGGTTTCGTACACGGTGGACATCGAGGATAACACACCTGAGCTACTCTCATGAAGTGTGTCTTTTCGAGTTTTTTTTTTGTACATATTTAGTTTACTCACATCATGAACAGACTAGCCTGAGCTAAAGTTTCAGACCAATTTATTTACTCTTTTGGAGATTTTGCATAATTCTTCCACAAAAAATAAGGAATACTTTTTGTGATTGTAAATTAGCAAAAGGGAGATCGCGATATGTTTGTTTGCCGGTGAGTTCAATATGATCAAATATTTGAACACTGATCTACTTAAAACTCAATGTCAAACAACGTTAATAGCAAAACTCGTTTCAACAAAATACTTGGAATTTCCTACCGAGAAATATCCTTTTTACTTCCAAATTTCTCGTTTAGATGACTATTTAAAATTCATTGCCGATAGTTATCGAGAAGGAAGGTCGCATAGCACAACAATAACATTGGTCTTTGGAGTTCTTCCATTAGGCCAGTATTATACGTCTAAAATGCGGTTATAAAGTATCACGTCATACGTAAACAAGTCATAATATTTATGAGCTCGTAAAATGTTTAATGGTTCAACGTTCAGTACTCATTCCTATATCCATTACCATCTATGAACTTACAGCTTAGACGTCAATAATTTTCGAAGGAATGATTAAAACCTTCCGACGCAAAACTTGAAAACACAGTTACCTAACATAAAATCGACACTTGGATTGGACTTAAAAACTAGAATGAAGGAATTCTCATTTTTGAAAGTTATACCTAGAATCGAATGAATAACGATAAATATGTACACAAATAAGATCACCTCTATGTGTTTGTGCCAAATACCTCAAACAAATGAAGTGACTTACATTACTTTGTAATTTTCAGCCTACAACACAATCCCCTAACTCCGGCCAAGGTCGAGCTCCTAGTATGTGCGACATCTTCTCTCTATCCTGCTGCAGCGGTACTCCACAACAGCAAAGACAATGTTTTACAAATGTCGGTTGCGCCATGTCCTACAATAACGGAAAGGCGTGCGAACACGACAGAGTCTTAGCCATTCTCAACGCTTACAGCCAAGCATATTCGCCCGTCAATTGATGCAGTAAGATCTGTTATATTATTATCAGTATTCTCTTAATTCACCTATGATTGTAAGTACAATGGAACGTTATAAGGCAAAGCATTTTGTATTGCGAATTGTGTTTTTTAATTGTAACCAATTTTTTATTGGACCTCTGCTAGATGAATGAATTAAGTTTGTAATTGTGAGTTCGAAGTTCTAAAATTATCTTAAAAGAAGTATCATTTCCATAAAACCCTGTCAACAACGGGTGGTAATCTATAGAACCCATTCGTGTACTTCTCTGTGACCGTTTTAAAGATAATTAAAGTAAGATTGAATCAGTTTCTGAAGATTTTCTATCTGCTTGCAGAGGCGTACTTTTCTTGTCGAATACCGTCGACTACAACGAAAAGGTATACCTCTTAGTGTTTATAAAATTTGTGTATAATTTATATTTTGTAGTATGTACTTAACTACTTTAACAATTCTGAAATATGTTACTACAAAGGCAAAGTATACTAAGTTTCTGTAAACACGACACTTCTTGTATATACTGGGTACACAACATTGGTACGACCTCTACAAGATATTTACACGTTGTCGAGTCTTCAACAATTACTGTCTATATATTGAATGTGGTTATACGTATATCGGTGTTGTTATGTGAAGTAGCAATTTGGTTAAAGCCAATAATGGCTCTGCTAGACCGTGGTTTGTTTGTAAAGGACTATAAAAGCTTTTGTTATTAGGGTTGTAACGATCTACCGAAAAGGTATTTGGTGTACAACGAAATACGAAGTGTTATTTTTCTGATTCGTGCCCTCTACACGTTGGAACAATTCGATTTTAATGCAAATTGTCTTTTGCGTACAGTCAACAACAACTTCGGTCTATCATTTCTGTCATGTCGTCCTTTAAAACGTTCATGAACGTAGCATAGAATTTTGATGAAAACCATTTGCATCATAATGAACTTCCGAACCAAATAATGTAAATAAGGATGTTGATAAACAATGACGTGCCAACTAACATGTTCATATTTTTTCGTGGATTGGTTTTTGGATTTACATAATTTTTTTTAATATTTGGAGGTTTCCGGTCACTTAGTTTATGTTTGTAAAATGAGACGAGATGACATGCTAAAATTTGGCACTAAAACCTCAATTTTCGAGTTTTTGTAGGTTAACACGATATTGCTTACTAGCATCCTTTTTTCCATTAGAATTTTAGGTTACATCTATTCGTAAAGAATTTGTACGATTTTTCCTGAAAACTGCCCGATAAGTTTCCTGGTAATTTAAATACAAATCGCCCCATGTTAACTGATCGTAACTAGTGTTAGACAAGTTTTCAGGGCCACGCAAGTTTGATTACATTCACCTTGAGCAGTCCTTGTTCTATACATACGGCTGCTTTTCAAGAACATTGGCTCAAACCAAAATAGTTCATGTTAGTTTTATAAAACAGCTGCAATCAGAACGTGATAAATGTTATTGTAAAAAGAAAGATCGAGCTATTTATTGGTTAAAATATATTTGCACGTTAGATATGCTTCAGCTGTTTCTAAATAATTACTTATTTTGCGATGGGCTACTGTTAATAATAAAAAAGGTATAAACAACATTCACTTTTCAAAGCTGTATACATAGTATTATAAGACATGTAAGGTAACTCGACAGAAACGTAGCGGCGCGTCTTGTATGTGTGTACGTTTGCCGCGCGCCGTGCAGGGACGCACACATTCGCAATGTAATGAAAGGCGGGTGAGACGACCGCGCTATGCAATGTCAATGCATCACGAGATTATACTAATGTGTGCGTTCGTACACGGCATACGGCGGGAACACACACAAGCCACATTGTTCTAGTATACTATAATAAGTTTGTTGGTCGGAATCATTTACGACAAAAGTGTCGAATACGACAGTTAGCGGGGAGCGATAAGTCTCGTTGTTTAGTTAAATAATTTACAGTATATGTTTTTTAACTATTTAGTATATCTATTATAATGTTTCGTGCCATTTTTGTAGTAGAATTTCTAAATCAAGAATTTTGTCTTTGTTTTTTATAATTTAACTATTCCTATTGATTGCAAAACTTAGCTTTAAAGTGTTAGTTTGGTGTCCTGTTAAATAAAAAAAATTAAATTTATTTACAGTTTATTCTTAACCTTTTAAGTAATAAATTATAACCACTATACCTTTTGTAGTAAATTACTTATTTGAATATTTTGTAGGTATATACTTACATACAGTGTGATTTGTAAAATACTAACATCTCACAGGACTCTATTACTAACATCATACAACAACTTTTGTTCCATGACTTTTTATAATCCATCAGATTTTGCTTTCATATAAAAATAACATTTAAATATCGAAGTAATTAATAGATTCAGGCGTTACTTCTCTAAACATTCATAACTCTGGGGTCGCACAAAAACTGAAAAGTTTATTTTTGGTAAAATTATTATGTTTGTAAAAAGTCATGGAAAAAAATTTGTTTATGATATTAGTAATATAGGTTGATAGTAATTTACCAATACCATAGTAGTACCAAAAAAAATAGTACCAAAGATGCTGTATAATAGATCACTTGTATAAATTTACTCAAATACTTAAAAATCAGAGAAACAGTTTAAAAAGCAATACTATCAATTTAATAATACAATGTTTTATGATTCAAAGTAAATTCTATGAGATTTAAATTAAACTTCAGTTAATGGCAGCTAACGCTTACGTTCCTAGTCTATAGTTATTAATAACTTTTTTATAAGCAATGAGAACAATAATAAAGTAACAGAAAGAAAATGCGTTTTTTTAACAAGTAACGGAGAGCTTGTAACACAAGTTTGAGATTCCTTCCAAGTGAAGCAGTGGCAACTAAAAAATCAGAAAACATTAAAAAAAAAAACAGAAGAATATTATATGCTCTTGATTGTTTTTTCAAAACGATTGTTGGATTGAGATATAGGTGCACCACAATATCATTATAAATGGGGAAATAGATTGTAAAAAACTGATCCGAACGAGTCGTCCACCTGATGGTAAGCGACAACGCCTGTCCATTGCTGCAATGCCACTCAGAGATTTAAATTCCAAAGATGCCAGTCACAATGAGAAAAAAGTTGCCAAGTCACATGTGCATGCAATTTCACCAGCACCCTTACCACTTGGCGACAGAAATTGGTAAGGTGGCAGTACTTCCCTGGACGAATTCTTTCACTCACGCTCTAATGCTACTTAGACTCAATACCATACATAAGTGTAGGAACCAGTACAGTTATAGATTATGGATGAAATATTCTGCTCCAGATACCCTAAGTCTTTTGAAAGCCTCTCCCGCAGATTTTAGGATTGTTATACTTATTTTCAGATTAAAAATGTTAATCATAATCCTAGCTTACATACCCAGCATAATTTTCATTCCTGAACAATGAAACAGATAGACAGTAAACTAGGAAAAGATTTTACACAAAATTCCCAGAAAGTTTATCAGTGCTGGATATTAACGGTGTGTAATTTATTTAAAATATTAGCTTTTAACATCGAGTATATAAACAGAAATAGAGACGAAATAAGGGCCATATATTCCTGGTAACACATTAGCGATACAGCTCTTTTATATATGAACTCTCGTTTGCACTGAAATATCGATAGGACAACTACTGACCTGTGTATACGTCTTCGGTGGTGTGGAAAAAACAGCAAAACATCTAATTACAAAACAAACGGAATCACATTTCATCGGTAATTAAATATTGAATATGTAATTTTGCAATTTTCGAACATTATAGCAAACCTCAAGTTAACTGGTCGATTTGAAGTGAAACAGTTGACGACACCCGTCAATTGTTTCGAACTCGGACTAGCCAATCGGAGCGCAGTTGTCACAGTAATGATATGGCAGAATAGTTTTTAAACAAATTAATTGACATTTCGTCTCTGTTTCTGGTTATATACTCGATGGCTTTTAATAAATGTTGCAGTTACTTAATTGTTTTTTCTTTCTTAATTGCTATGAGTATATTATGGTTTGTTGTATAAGAAAGTTTTGTATAAATATCAAATTCAGACGACTGGCTGTGCACGGGGTTGCTGGTTCTTACACTTATGTATGGTAGTGAATGTTGGGTTTGGCAGAAGAAGCACGAAAGTAGAATTAATGCAGTAGAAATGAGTGCTTCGAGAAGTATGGCTGGAGTGACTCTGATGGATAAATTACGGAGCAGCGTTATAAGAGAGCATTGCCGCGTGGAAGAAGATGTAGTGACAAAGATAGAGAAAGGGATGCTTAGATGGTTCGGACATGTAGAGAGAATGAGTTGAAGAAGATTGACGAAACAGATTTGTAAGGCGAGTGTGATCGGACAAGTTGGTATAGGCCGACCAAGACGAACTTACCATGACCAAATTGAGATCATCCTAAAGAAGGGCCAGGTCAAGAGCACCCTTAACCGACGAGCATGTACGACAGCACTGATGCGTGTTAATTAGGCGAAAGATGTGTGTAGGGACCGTAGCAAGTGGAAGACTGTTGTTTCTGCCTACCCCGATGGGAAAAAGGCGTGAGGTATATATACGTACGTATCAAATTCAGAGTATTAAGGCTTAGGACTTTTTCTATCTTTGGATAGATTTTACCAACCTTAACACATTTCGTCATCTTTGGATACATTTTACCAACTGTGATACATTTTACCATCTAAAAAAGATTTGTTTACTTAATTTTGTACATTGACTATAATTTTACTCAGCATTGATTTCTTAAAGAAACGAAACTTCCTTGAAATTAACTTAGAGTTTTCACTTTGATCACCCTCCTCCTGATTACGTCATAACATTTTAACTACTTTGATATATTTTACCAGCTTTGGCAAGTTTCACAATTTTAGATGCCTTTCACCATTTTTGATACTTTTTACTTTCTTTAATACATTTTATTTCATCCTATTAAATATTTAATTTTTATATACATATCTATCTGTCGTTTATGTTAGTTAGCACATCTTCGTAAAAATATTTAAGGATATTTTCACATCGATCACTACGTCAACTCCTTGTTGGTATGACAAATTTTTATTAATATTAATAATAATCATTGTAATCCAGTTTAACAACTGCATTATATCTAAGACTAATCATATTATTTATTGAGGCGTGGAAATTATGCTAGCACTTAACTAAATAGCAGCGAGATGACAGTGCACCGTATGAGAAAGTGGTAAGTACGAGTATGTACGGGTTTTACCGAACAA